CCTCACTGACCAGCCTATCAGCATGAGCTCCGCCCAGTCCCTCACCCTCACTGACCAGCCTATCAGCATGAGCTCCGCCCAGTCCCTCACCCTCACTGACCAGCCTATCAGCATGAGCTCCATCCAATCCCTCACGTTCATTGTGGGCACTGTGGACATAAGTGGGCAGTCTTCTTCTGAAGTCAGGCTTCCGCTCATTGGTTGGTTTGTTCCTATGTGACTTTTCCATTGGCCTGCAGGAACTGGTCGCATTTGTCTGTAAAAGCAGCAGTGGCGTGACTTGCTGGCCCCTTTTCATGCGACAGCCTCCTCTGCCGTAAATCATCTTACAGACTGGGCCTGGCTTCTTTAATCCCCGCTCTTTTGTCCAATTAACGTGACAGGGCTGCGTGATGATGGCTGCATTTAGAGAGCGCGTTACACAACTTTCTCTGTTGCGTTATTACATCCTCATTACTCTTGGCCTCTCCCAGACATTCCTGCACTTTCTCTTTCTCTGTCCCGCTTCCTCTCTCCCGCTCTCATTCCAGCCATTAATTACTTTTCCTAAGTGGGGCTGCATAAGAGCCGCTCCAGAAGACAGCTGCTTGTCGGCCGTGAGTGCCAGCGTCTAACAGAAGCCGTGCGTTTGCTCCTTCCCATCCGTGCCAAGATTACGGGGCCGTGCAGCTCTGCTCCTCACCTCAGCGGTGACTGCATCTCTGTCGCCCCCTGCAGGTGTCAGCTTGATGCGCGAGGCCTTCTCCATGTCCTGCATTGCTAATGGGGTCGCCGTCAGCCGCAAGCCAGGCCACAGAGACGGATCCTCTGTGTCTGTTGCCAGGAAGGAGACTTTCTCCTCTGCAGCCAAGAGGTGCAGTTTTTCCTCATGACCGGACCAACATACAGACAAATGGCAGGAGGGAGGCCACACACCCACACACAGGCTGTGTACAAATTCAGGGGCTGCATCCTTCAAAGGACATGGTCTACAAAGATTGTAGAATTTGTAGGCTGCATTCTTTGAGGGGTCGAACGGAGAACAAAGTCAGTTGGGACAGTCTGACCTATGGTCACTTTCCTGTTTGCATCAGCTGCTGTTCCTGCGCAAACCCTTGATGACACGCCCACATTATCTCTGCGCAGTGAGTCTCGAAATACGTTGGGCTGTGAAGGATCCATCCTTCATGACTCTGCAAAAGAAGGACGCATTTCTAGACCGCATTTGAAGGAGCCTTCGAAATGGGACTGCCTTGGCGCACCTGTGTGTGACATAGTCTTTGAATGCAGCCTTAGAAGGATACAGCCCCTGGATTTGGGCACAGCCACAGTGGCTGGGGGGCACAGCCCCTCCCTACAAGGGTTTGGTCGTACCTTTGGCATCCCTCAAACCTCCCACGCCAATTCCTCATTGTTTTACAGTGAGCCAGTGAGAAATGTCAAGCATTCAATGCAGGGTACCAAAGAAAAGGCGGAGCCATCACCTGGAAGCGAAGCCCCGCCCCCTCCTGAGGCACAGGACACTCCCAGGCACCCCCCTTCCCCCACCCTGCCCCAGTCCAAAAGGCACTTCCAGGGAAACAGGAAGTCCAAACCAGCTGACAGGTTCCTGGAGTAAATTCCGTTGACCTTCCTGACCCCAACTTGCCTTTCATTCTCTATATCGATTCCACCCACCAGATTTGACCCCACTCTTCACCCTTCACCAGTATCCCTGCAGAGCTACACCAGCTACGCCTCCGCCCTGGGATTGGCTGCAGTAACCCTTTGGTCATAAGCCCTAAGACCCTCATAACCCCCCCCCAGCTGCCTAACCCCTCTTCCCCTCTATATTAATCTGCTATCTGCTGCTTACTTGATTTTTCATTTGGCCTCTGTCACCTAACCTTGCATGGATACAGCCCTTAGGAGCAAATACTCAGCCTTTACATATACTCCTCCTTTACGCTTGTAGACTGAGACGAGTCATGTTCCCGTTGATGCTACATGTGTATGTGAAACCAAACATCGCGGCCACAGCCCGGACACGTTTCTGACAAGACTTCACAGTGTAGCTATAGCACATTAATCCCTTATGGGTTTATTGGTATTTCTGTTGTTAAATCTATTTGTACATAAGAATAAATCAGGTAAAAACATACAACAACAATAACAATAGCCAGATGAGCATAGAAGTCGTCAGCTTCTGTTAAGGTTGGAAGAGCACGGGGAGGGGCTCTGGGATTCTTTAAGGTGGGGGGCATTACAAAGGTGATCATTTATGCAGAGCAGCCAACTGCATCATTAGCTAATGATGTGTTTTCAATTGATGAGTGACAGGGGAGGGGGGCTTTCTGGGGGCTAGTCGCATTTCACCTGTGGTGAGTGCCCCTGTGCCCCTCCCCCGAATGTGACCAGGCCTCTCTGTTTCCTCTGGCGTGTGTGTGTGTGTGTGTGTGCGTGTGTGTGTGCGTGTGTGTGTGTGTGTGTGTGTGTGTGTGTGTGTGTG